TCACTGAGTTCCCTATAAAGGGTTAAAAAAGCCAGAGATTTTATTGCTGATGTTTTATGATTGGAAGTTGGGGAAGAGTTAAAGGGTTTGGCTGTAAAGCCAGATGGGGTTTAGGGAGGAATGACATTGTTTGCAAACGCTTCTGGCCGTTCGTTTGTCACATAGAAATTCCTGCGTTGACCTTGAGTCCAATCTGAATGCAGCTGAGCTGCAGCTTCAGCCTGACTCATTCAAATGATAAAGATAAGGCCATGTTGTTCTCACTGAGCTCAGGAGATTGTTTGGGAGTACACAGGTAACAGGGCGCTCTGCTTTGCCTCTCAAATAAGCAGCAGTTCCTCCTGTTGCTCTGCAAGCAGCAGATCACATGACAATGATGTCATTCTAAAGTGTTTTCGATGAAGCCAAGGTTGAGCCAATTCCTCCTGTTTTGTAGCAGTTATGAGCACAGCACGCGGAGGGACTTGCTCTGTCCCTGACAACTCACTCGCTGACTCTTGTTCCTATTTCACATTCCTCACCCAGACTTCTCAAGGTTGCAGTGCAGTATTAGTAGCTTTAGGCGTGCGCCTGTGTAAGCGCTCCCATCTGTTTGCTCACGGAGGGGCTAAGCTTGAGTGAGACCCTCATCTGACTCACCTGGGGGCTTTTTCATTTCCTTTCTCTTGTGATCTTTTCTCCCATACCTGCTATTTCTGCTGATTTTTTTTGCGACTCAGTAAATTAGCTTGGATCTACACCCCTTCGACTGAGAGAAATGTGGAATTTTAACCATATTACCTGTTTAATGATTACATTTTACAAGTTGAGAATCTGGTATGTTGCTTCGCTACTTTGGAAACGGCTTCTGGTACATTCATTCATTAAAGAAAATCTAGTAATGCAATTAAAAAAGATTAAATATCTACAAAAATGTTTCATTTGATACTTCTCAATATTGCTTTTTCTTACGTTTACATGATAAAAGTGACACAGTAGTAAAAAATCCTCCACTAATCTCAATATAAACAAACATTTATTAACAAACAGCTGATTATCTTATCCATTTTTCTGTTTCAAAAATCAATGGATAAGATGGATATGGATAAGATCCTATAACTAATTTTGTCCGAAAATATAGTCTGGCTGATGTATGGTTTCTACTCTAACTTTTTCTAATGATTTGTAAATTTCCATTTCTTAAACATGTTCTTTGCCTGCAACAATAATTGATCTAAATTCAACCCGTACCACTCATGTTCTGTGGCACATAAGGTGCCAGATAAGTCAGTTTTTCTTAAAATAATTGCATTTTTTCTTGAATTGAGGTAAATGAGACACTTTGCCTATAGAACAAGATAATTTAAAATAAGAAAAAATCTGTCATTGTCTTATTTCAAGTGTATATTATCTAATTACCTTATTTTAAGAGCAATAATCCTCATTCCATTGGCAAATCATCTTATTTACCTGCTCAAATTGAGTGTAAATACACTTTTTAAGACATTTTGACTTATTTCTAGATTGTTTTTGCTGGGTACAGCTGTTTTGTCTTTATTTAGTGAAAAGTTTCCATCTTCTTGTCTGATTTCTGGAAGGTTTTAGAAACTCTCAAAAAATCCTTGAAATCAACGTGCAGGAAAGCGTGAACTTTGACGTTTAAACTTTACATCAACCTTCTCTCCTTCATATAATTCAACCAAAGTGACTCGCAAATACAGAGGAAGCATCCTCCATGGTTGTTTGTTTTTACAGCATCACATTCTCTGCGGCAGGCTCATTAAATGATTCCTTTCAAAGAAAACAATAATACTCCCAAAGGACATCTGCACGGCTCTGTCTTCACCGAAGCTGCTGCAGGATTTTTTTATTTGTTGCACCTCAAATTGTCTCTTGATTAAACTGTCATTAGGCAAAGAGCCGTTTGGATCAGACATTTTAGCCAGTCGTGTATTTGAAAGTATTTGAAGTGTTCAACATTGAATGCATTAAAATTGTAATACATAAGTAAAAACTTTGTTTATACAGAACAGTATATCTTAATAATATTAACAAATCTAATGCTTTGTTAGAAAGAATTGTCACATCTCGTTTTATTTTCAAATGGCTCGTGTTGGATAAAGGAAGTAGTGTAGAGCAGAAGGATTTTACTATTTTGACAGATTTATTTTGTCATTTTGTATACACAAGTGTATACAAAAAGGAATTTCGTTTAAAACAGCTCTAAACAATTTCATTTTTTAAATGAAACTGTCAAGGATGGGTTACCATGGCAGCGCTCCAAAGCAGCGGCCAAGAACAGCTCCTCTTGTTTGCAAAATTCTGTCTCCCCTCTTGCACCTCCCTCTTCCTGTATGTGGACCATTGACAGAGGAGTGTTCTGGATTGACCACGGTGAAAAAACGTGCAGAAGTTTGCTAAAACTGGCTTATTTTGTTGATGTTTTGGGCTTTCAACTCTAAAGTCATTTTCAAATAGCAGTTCTACATTGTTGTTTGTTACCACTGGTATTATTTCAACCTGAAATGTGCTGTATAGAAGCTGTGAGTTTTGATTCAGTGCTCGTTAAGGCATTAGCCTTCACCAGCAAAGTGAATGCACCTTTAGTACTGGGAGCTAGCTCAGCTAACAGAGACTCAGGTAAAGCTGGGAGAGTCGAGCACAGTGCAGAAAAGGTTAGCAATAAGGATTCTATGGAACTGAGTCGGAGGACTGCATCTTCACTGAACTCCACCTGTTCCACATCATATCAGGCCTGCAACAGGGGGAATTTTGTTTTATTTTGAACTATATGCCGGCTTATTTGTGAGTTAGGGAGTGAGGGCCCACATATTTTAGTTTAAGTCGGACAATTGAAACTTAAACTTTATAACAAAGTGAAATTTATTTAAATGTAACTTTTGAAATCATCTCAATTGTATTGTTTTTGGGGGGTCTCTTAAGATCAATAGAAGTTCAAAGACTGTTGTATGTTGTTTGGTTATTTCAGAACAGTAAAATTATTGGATAAGAAATGAGCAGAAGTAAGGCTGGATTATAACCCTGACTTTGATTGCCTGAGGTTGTATTTAAATGTTATTGCTCTCCTCAGAGGTGAGTCGGACTCGAGTCAAAACATAAAAAGTAAATTGATTTAAGGGTTTTTTTAAGAACTAAGCCGCCCTTATCTACTTCAGTGGGGTATAGTTGGGCTACAGTTAGAATTGAGAAGCCATTGGAGTGATACAGTAAGCTGCTTGGTGAGAGGACACAGACGGATGACTGGCAGCCCAGAGCTGTTTGAAGGAGAGATTCATGGAAAATCTGTACTTTATCTGAGTCGCCAAAGAAGCGCGCACACACAAACACACACACAAACACAAGCAGAGCTAGTTTGATGCAGCTGAAAAGCAGCTCAGCGTTGTGAACATAAGCCAGTGTTTCCGCTCAGCAGGTGCCGCTTGTCTGTCTGCAGCTCTGCTGTGTGAAGTTTTCAGCTGGAGGAAGTAAAGGCATCCTTGTTTGTCCCGATTCTCTTTCTAAACGGATAGATGTTTAAGTATTGATCAGTACCCGGGTGTTGTTTACCTCCCGCTCACTGTGTGTGTAGACGTAGCAGAGTTTTCCTGTCCTGGTTTTCTTGTTTTTGTTCATGCTTTTCATTAAATGTGCTGCTTTCTATTATGGATCCGTTATCCCGCTCCTCCTGCTGCTGTCTGAAGTTTCTCCTCTCATACTCTTCACTCACAGTCTTTGCTTTTCCAGTGTTGATAGTTGGCACAGAAAACCTTGTTGATCGTTGTCTCCATGGGAATCAGCAGAAATCTGACAATGTCTATAAAACAGAATGAGAACTCTTCATTATTTGTATTCTGTTTGCTCTCCTTAGCCTTATTTTGATTTTAAAGGTCTCTGCTCCTCTATGCTATGTTCACACCGCAAGCTGCACAGGCAGCAGAAGCAGCTAGTTTACATGCAAAGTCAATGGTTGATGCGCATCTTCAGAAGCAGCAGCAGCTGGCATAGGAAAAATTTTACTTTTGCTGGTTGACGTGGTACATCAACCAATCAGAGAAGCTGATCTGGGAGCTGGCAGGGAGACGGACACAGCACTGCTGATGCAGAGCGCTATGATCACTCCTCTGAAACAGTTTATTAATGCTGAAACCTGCCTGCAAAATATGTTCGCCGTTTTTAGTCTGGTGCCTGCAGTTTGGATTACATACATGAAAAACGCCCTCCAGCTGCTGCACTTTGTAGCAGAAAACCGGAGAGAGGCAACCGGGTTCCTAGTGACGGACCGATGCCGATGTACGGGGGTCTGAGTGGCTCCGACAGTGAAATAATATTTGAAGACAGGATTGTAATCTGGACGAACTGACTGCACAGATGAAGTTTTCAGGTGGACTTTCTCACTTCAAAATAGATTCCAACTACCTTTTACCCACTGATCACAGCAAATATAGCTGCCATTGTTACAGTCAAAGAAAGAATAGGGTAGCTCCGCCCAACCCGCATCAGACCCACTTTACCACTGCGCAGCTGGAGCAGCAAAGATTCTTCAGCAGCGTGTCAGAACTAAACTTGTACAAGGATCAAAAATGAAGCAATGCATGCTTTTTTGCTGCTCCTGCTGCGTGCGGTCTGCGAGGCCTTAGTCCTCGACCCGGGTGACTGGGGTTTGAATCCAGCCTGTGGTGCTTTCCTGCATGTCTCTCCTCCTCTCTCATAACCCCTTTCCTGTCAGCCTACTGTCCATAAAATGAGCCACAAAAAAAAAAAGGTATTGCTTTCCTGTTGTCTCCACCAGGCCTTCATTTCCAGGCAGGACTCCGGGTCTTGTTAGGCTTTATTAGCACAGCAAGTGTTTATTTAGCTTCCATGGCGACTTTGTTTGCTCCAGCTTCATTTTACTGGTGCAGAGAGAAAACTGCCAGGTTGAGGAGCGCCCCAAAAGATAACGATGGCAGCTCTCATGCTGTAGTGGATTTTATTAGATTTCTGCATCAGTTAATTGTGTTTTCCTCCTTTCCTCCATCCAGGTGATTCTGTACTCAGGTGACCGGGTCTATGAAGACTATTATGAGCCCATGAGGGGGCGGGTCCACTTCAACACAGCTGACCCAAAGAACGGCGACGCCTCCATCAACCTGACGGGCCTGAAGTCAACAGATTCAGGGACCTATCAATGTAAAGTAAAGAAGGCTCCTGGAATCGGCAGCAAGAAAATCAAACTTATCGTCATGGGTGAGTGGATCAGTTACTAGATTGATACAAAGCAATGAAAGGCGCAGCACATGGTCACCCAAACACACACGGTTCCTAAGGTTTACCACCACTCACCCCAAGGAGGAAAGTCATTAATTTGATTATTTTTTTTTTATTCCTGTTGGGTGGAATAACTACTCAATAAGCTACTCCAAACACCGGCTGGTTAGATGAGGTTTAATTCACGGTGAAGGTTGAAACGCTTTTGTATCGGTGAGCATAAGGCCACGCTCTTAGTGGATATTTTTCTATCAAAAGTGGTTCTTAGTACTGATTGATTTATAAGAGGGAAACTAGTTTAGTGATTGATTAATCGTTAACTGGAGAAAATAAACTCTAAAACATGCCTTTAGCTGAATGAGCGACCCACTTAGAGCAGTATTTATACCAAAATTGTAAAAAAAAAAAAAATGAATATTAAACATCTAAGGTTAAAAAAAAAACACTTGTGAAAAATTTTTTAGTTTTACATCCTTTATATTCTGTAAAGAACCTTATTTATGAAACCTTTAGCTGTCCAATTACTAATCTAATAAATGAAAAAAATCCTAGACAGATTAATCAATTAGCAAAATTCTTTTTAGTTGCGGCCCTAATTTATATGATAGGTAGGATAACTGCTGACTCATGTCAAACTAACCATTGGGTTACATTCAATGATCTCTAATTATTCACTGGATTGCTGATTGCCCGCAAATATGAAGCCGCCGTTAGCCATACTGGTACTCCCCACTCCCCAGGAGACGTGCAGTAGAAATGCCTACATGTTTAGCATTTGGTTGCAAAAACAAGCAGTTTGTCGGCTGTTGGAAGTCGTTTCACAGTCAGTGGATTCCATATATACGCCAATGCATCCCATAATATAGTATATAGCGTTACATTAGTCTGGCTATCTCGTACCGACTCCAAGTTATTGATTGAGTTAGCCACTGACTTCGTGTCTAAAAAGAAAGTAGAGTAAATACAAAGTATTTCACAGCAAAATGTAAATGTAGTCATTATTAAGTGGATGATAATATCGTTCCTTTAGTGTTTGTTGTATTTCTCATTTGAAAAAGTCATATGCTGAAATATTGTGCATGTTATTTTGAGGGGGAAAAAAACTATACATATCTATATACTAAACTATATATCCATATATAGATATATATATCTATATATAGATATATAGATATAGCATGCATGCACAATTTGCAAATAGAAAAATACTACAGCATCAACTTTTAATGAAGTCTTTATGTAAAAGCTTGAAATTATTGGAATTATATGTAATATGTAAATACATTGCTCAACACATTAATTTTATTGTGATGGATTTGTATAATATGTTATATAACATGATTTATAGACTTCATTGACTTTATAATGACTATGCAATGTGCCTATTTTTTAGTTAAAGTTCAGTTAAAGTAAGCTACTGATGCTATGAAACAACAAGTGTGTGTGTCAAAGTGATGAATTTATCTTTATTTTAAAGGTCTTTAATCCCCCTTAAAAAATGAGAACACCATTGTTGTTAGAGATCAGTGGTTACATTAACTTTAAGCAGAATCAGGGAGCATGTTGATATCTGATGTCTAGGATTTTAGACGCAGGCCGATATTTTACAATATTACTATTTTAATATCAGATCAGGACTAATATTTCATTGGTTAAACATTTTCAGCATAAATACATACGTTTGAGCTGGAAATAGACAGATACATCGACCGGTCGACATTTTGGGCCAATATTCACGTTTTGGGATAATGGTCGATTCATCTGAGCGTTCAGCAGCCATGCCTTCAGATCACGTGAAGGATATGTATTGGCATGTCCTCTATTTGCTCTCCATTGTTAAAGTTTTGTTTGATTTGTTCATAAAGGGTTCTGTTTTGTTTAAACTGAGTCCTGCCTAATATTTGTTCTCATTGTTTCATGTTAATTCTATAAATGGAGGGAAAAAAAGGAACATCAGCTCCAAGAATCACCCAGAAAATATCAGCAGAACCTATCGGGCATCAGTGGAACATTAGCCTACTTTGTTTTAAATAAACTAATTTATCCCCTAGATATAAAATCATAAAAATGTATAGTAGATTTCTGCCTTGAAAGTCGTAGGGAAACGGCTGTTCCAACTATTTCATTTCCAAATTTTCCCGAGTGGTGCCCGACTATAGTTTGGTTGTGGCCGGTTTGTTGGAAGCATTTTTGCTAACCAGTTAGCAACTAAGTGCTAATAGGTTCCCAATAGCACTAAATTAGTGACTTACAAAGGACACTGTCAAGGAACGCTATGGACAGAGGAAACATGCAAGAGGAGGAGAGTTTAGTGTCGGAGGTCGTGGATGAGTCTCCTCCATCAGACATTTTTTATTTAGAGGAGGAAAGCGGGATGAAGATGTTGTGGAAGAGGACGCCAGGGCGGCAGAAGCTTGGTTTGGTGTAGAAGGCTTCCAGCCGTACATGTTTGAGCCCTTGCCTCGCAACGCTGCCAGTTCTGTTAGCTCTACGCCTGCTGAAGACACAGACGTCCATCCCCGTGAACACTGGGACGGAACTCAATGGGGAAGAAAATGATTCTTATTTCAACCGTTGGGTATATTAGCTGCGACATATGAATCAAGATGCTATGACCAAAAAAATTTGATTGACAGATGACCGTTGATATATGATTGGCTGAATTTAGGTGTTCAGCCTGATATATAACTGACTGGCCTGCATAAAATAACGGGAAAAAAACAACACAGATTTTAAAACAGAAATGTTGTAACTTTTGGGTACTGATAAAGAGTACATTTATATATATGTTTAAGCCAGAATAATTTGACATTTAAATTTGATTTCCCTACGACTTTTAATATCCATCCTTTTAATAAGTGATAATAATCAGTCGTAAAACATCCTGGTATATGACTAATGATTTTCTCTGACTAAAATCGTCTGGTTTCCACTGAGCCAACAGAAAGTAAAGATGCAGTGTTGAGTTTATTTGTTTTCCACAGAGGGAACTGGATGACACATCATAGTTGTATAAGTCAGATGATTTAATCCCAAGGCAAACAGAGTCACACTCTGTGGCCTCGCTGATCAGTCAGCCAGTTAAATGATGTCGAAAGGGAATCGCCTCCCGAAACTGGCCTGCTATTTGCATATGGGACAAACAGCCCACGCATGATAAACTAGTCATTACACAAGCTGCTTTTATGGTACCTTCAGCTATCAGGAAAAACTCTGAGGCAAGCTTCAGAAAATGGCTCCTCTTCCTGTTCTGGCATGGGAGCTGCCTTGGAGCTCGTCTGCCTGGCTGTGTGTTTCCTGGACGGGGCCGCCTTTTACAGCTGCTTTTTGTATCTCTGCTTCTGTCTCCTTGAACCCCAGTCGGCCTCAGCAGATGGCCGCTCACACTGAGCCTGGTTCTGCTGGAGGTTTCTTCCTGTTAAAAGGGAGTTTTTCCTCTCCACTGTCGCTACAAGCATGCTTAGTGTGGGGGATTGTATTTGAGTCAATGAGTCAATGCAATCAACTGGTTTTCCTTAGATAGAAAACTTTGTATCAATTTGACTGTATGATCTGGTTGAACTGTAAAGTGCCTTGAGATGACATGTGTTGTGAATTTGGCGCTATATAAATAAACTGAATTGAATTGAATTGAATTAGAGTAAAGCGTTTCGAAAGCAATAGCCAAGCACACAAACAGGTTTGTCAGAGGTTGAAGTTGTTGCGGCTTTAAACTCTGCTGTAATGACAGAGGTCAGTGTCAACAAGTGATCTCAGCATTTATTGTGGCTACAGCTGACTCAGAAACCATTAACGCTGCATTTTATGGCCCATGGGCATATCAGGGCAGACCCCGACAGAAGCAATGTGGGAAACGTTTGGTAGTTTATTAGCTGTGGCTTTTACACAGACCTGTTTGATTTCACCTCTTTAAACAGGACTCCTGATTGAGGTCGACTTCATTGCTCTGGTTTCTAAACGTCTTCCCTGTTGTTTAAGAAATAGACACAAGCAGCAACAATTTTTCCTGTTATTTTTCTGGCAAATAACACATTTTCTAAATGTAAATAAAAAAATTAAATCCAGAAATGAAACTAAAAAAAGCATTTTTGTTGAAAAAGGTTTTGAGAGTAATTTTCTGTTTAACTCAGATTTACATTTTTCATCTTACTTCCAATTTAATAATCTTTTTTTTTTTTTTTTGCTTTCAGACTTTAATTTTTTTTATTAGTTTTTTTTGCAGATTTCTTCATTTTTATTTTTATTTCCTGTTTTTTAGATTGAGTTTTCAGTAATTGGACTTTTTTAATTGCATTTCTCAATATCAAATAATGCAAACTTTAGCAGGAGTACTTCAGTTTTATTGGATCGTTGTAATTATATGCTGCATCTCCATAATTTTTTCATTTCTTTCCTAGTTATTTTCATTTAGATGGACGAGTCGGAATCCATATAACACATACAGAAACATTTAAAGGATAAGTTATTCAAAACTCATGGTGCAACATCAGAACAGGTTATTAGGTCATAACACCTGTAGAGGTTTTCTGAGCCTCTAAATCATCTCATTCTGAGTCTGTAGACGACACCGCTGACACATTATGGGAAGCCATCTTTGCTAAAGATGCTAGCGATGCTGTTTGTTCTCAGAGCTCTAAATCCAATCATATTTATAGAAAGTTCATTCTAATAAGGCCTGTAGCACAAGGTGTACCAGGAATGTGGATAATTGGAGCTTTGAGAGGCGTTTGAAGCAAAACCAAGAATTTTGGGAGGAAAAAGGGGAAACTAAAGTTGCAGTCAAGACATCAAGCATTCAAGGGATTCAAAGATGAATCTGCAAAGATCACAAGCGCCTTACCAGGAGTAACTAAGGAGGAAAAAAGCTTGACTGACAGAGTAGTGAAAAAGGTCAAACGTCCTGTTTTCAGATTATTGTAGGTCCTGCAACCTTCCATTTTCCATCATGCTCATCCCAAGTGGGGTCGCGAGGCGTGCTGGTGCCTATCTCCAGCTGTCAATGGGCGAGAGCCGGGGTCCACCCTGGACAGGTCGCCAGTCCATCGCAGGGCAACACAGAGACAAACAACCATTCACGCACACCTACGGAGAATTTAGAGAAGCTAAATAACATAACATAGCCTATTAGACTAGCCCCACCTGCCAGCGGCCAAAAAAATGTTTGCCTGTGAGTAGTCTTGCCTCGATAAATATCCAAGGCCTAAATCTGGCGGGCCAATCACAACGCAGAGATGTGTTTTGAATTTCTAGATGCAAAGTGGGCGGGTTTGAGGGCCTGACGACAAAGCTGCAAGACGCTGGAGAAAGCACAACAAGGAAGATGGCAGCAACTATTGAACCGTTCTCGTTTGACTCAGCTTTGGAAACAGTAGAAGAAGAGTGGACAGCCACAGATGCTCAAAGTCATGTAGGAAGTTACAACAGTCTCCTCTGCTGGTGTTGGTCGTCCATGGTAACTCAGTCATCTGTCAGGACAATATATGCTAAAAACCTCAGGAGATAATGATTTCATGTTCAAGCAGGACTCTATGACCATCCTACACTCCCAAAGGTCAGTGAACGTGATGCTTCTGTTCACGATCAGCCAAAAACTCGCCTAACCTGAGCTCTGTGGAGAATCCCTGAGGATGAGGCAAACATCAGAAGGAAGATTAGAGCCACCAGATCCAACGCATGACCTAAGGGCCGCCATCAGAGATCTGGGCATCTATCACACTGTTCCGACATCTGGCGTTTTTAGTGAACTGATTGAATATTCTCTAATTAAAAAATATGATCAAACTTTTCTCAATATTCCAATTTTTGGTGATTTTAACCGAATAAAGGAATGCATCCCTCCTTTAATGGTTCAAGACATGTAAAAATAAACAAAACAGATTGAAACCAAATTTATCAAACCTAAAAAAAAGTTCAATCTCTGCTTGAGGCTGCTGAGCTACACAAACGTTTGTTTGCATAAAAAAGGAAGGATTTCTCAAGGCCATGGCAGCGTGCAGACTGCTGACCCTAGGGGTGGCGATGCACCGAGGAAGCATTGACATACAGGGGTGAGGACATGTTGCCTGCTCGGCGTTTTACCTTCAGCTCCATCCTGCCTCATAATAAGAGGACAGGAGGGTCCATGAAGATAAACAAACCTCAGGTCTGTTTGATGCTGCTGCTGCTGCATGCGTGCACACGTTCCCCAGGTCTGCTTCCTGTTGTCTTCTGGTTGCAGCGGGACTTTGAAGCTAACAAGAGGAGAGCTTCCACCGGCAGACCTGTGCTGCATGTCAGCAGCTTGTAAAGCTGCTGTGACTCCCTACATTCAGGCAGCTGCCATCATGAACCAGATCTCCCTGCAGAAGAGGCCTCTCTGTTTAGTCCCCGCAGGAATAACGCGCCGTGTCACTCTGAACCCTCACCGCCTGCTGCTGCAGACTCTGTCACCTTCTTCTATGACCTCATCTCCCAAACACATAAATCTGACCCTCAGAGCCTCACATAAGGAGCCGATGTGTTGGCTTGACTTTCACCTTTAAAAGATGCGTTCCTAAATGTCATAGCTCCCTGACATTTAGTGCATGATGCATGAATACATCTGTAGGTAGAACACTGCAGGACGTCGCCCCCGCCTCCCATTACCGTCTGTCCATCGCCGCTCACCTAATGTTTGAGCTGCCAGTCTCCTCGTCACCTTGTGTCCTTTCCGCGGTCGTGTTTATTAGATTGATAAGAGCACTCAGCGCTGTCAGTCTACTGTTAATCCTTATGCTCATCTCTGCTAAGCTGGCCCCTCCCGACTGGCACCTGGCTCCCCTCTGAGCGGCCCCCTCTGCTGCACATGTTTTGTTGTTTTGTTCCTGTAGCCGTTACCTCACCATGATGTCAGTTTTCTGTCAGTGGTCATAGAGCACAGACTTTACCCTCAGAGTCCCTCAGTCTGGCCTTTTCTTTCATTTGAAGCTGTGTTTGCTTTAGGTTCCCCCTCATATCCTGGCTACACTGTGACCGACTGAGCCGTGTTTGCACACACGCTTTGGCACAGTTTCCACACAGAAACTCCGCTCTCTCATCGTTTCTGCTGAGCGCTGTGTTTCGTCTCCCTTGTTGGTCGTGATTATCCTGAGTGACGGCTCCTGTAATGACAGCAGCTGTATCAATTACTCAGATTACTGCTTTCATTTCGCTGATGACTGCTGTTTGAGCTACAGGGGGAGATGAAGTAAAATCTGCATACCGTTGATATACACTGTAAAAAATAGACAAACTGTTTTCTCCTGAGTTAATTCGGATGATATTTTTTCTTTTGTTTTGTTTTTTGCTGCAGTCCGGCCGTCGAAGCCGAGGTGTTCAGTCACCGGTACCACAGAAGAAGGCAAGAACATCGTGTTGAGATGCACCGCCGCTGAGGGAACCAAGCCTATGCAATACAAATGGGAGAAAACCACTGACAACAAGCTGCTGCCTGCCTCTGCTGTGTTGGGTAATTGACATTTTCCAAAAGCATCAGGGACTTCTCTGTTTCTGTGTTTAAATCTGGAATATTTTGCCCTCTAACAGACACTGTGGAAGGTACCATAAACGTGAGGAATGTGTCTGCCAGTGCATCTGGTTCTTATCGCTGCGTTGCCAGCAACGCCGTTGGCTCAGAGGAGTGCATCCTGCATCTCAGCGTGACTCCACGTAAGTTCCCCACTAACTTAATGCTCATAAGCAGTGGCTTAGTGAAGCATTCACAGCTCTTAGAGCTTCACTTTACAGTCAGTAAGATAAAAAAATAAATTTTATCAGGGTGACGCAAGGCACGGAAATATTTACTCTTTTCCAGACTTCTTATGTTTTTAACGGATGTGTTTGAAAATGCAATAAATTAATTCTTTTGACATTTACCATTTGCTATTCAGCAACATTAAATGGGGTGTGGTAGCCTAGTGGTTAGGGCATAGAGCTTGGAACCCTGAGGTTCTCAATTCAAGCCCCACGCCCACAGACTGCCACTCTGGGTCCCTGAGCAAGACCCTTTTTTTCCTTATTGCTCCCCTAGCACCCTACAATGGCAGCTCAAAGATGACCCTGCACATTTAGAGGATGTTTGGCTTAATCTGCTGCTGTGAAGCAGGATTCTCCACCATGAACAGAATCAAACATAAATATGGATCCAGGCTGAAAATTAGCTCCTTGATATGTGCTTGAGAATGGCTTTGCCTCCATTCAAACTCAGGTTTAAAGCCTTGCAGGGCAGCATAAAGCCCACTGCCAAGATTAAGACAGAAAAAAGATAGAAACGGTTGGTTCAGGTGTTTTATAAAATATTTGAACCAGGAAATTATCTATATACCAAACTGAACGATAGTTGTTCTCTACTTCAAAAAACAGTTTAGATTTTTTATTTATTTTTTTTAAACATGGATGTATAAAAACCTGCTTTTTATCGCAGTGTTAAATTATGTTTAAAGTAACAGATTATAATTAAAAATGTCTCCGGACCTTTATTGGTCTATGAGTTTCTTTATTCGGACCCTGCTGAGTTGTAATTGGTTACCCATGCTCTAGATTTTATTTAAAAATATCATAATGAAGAGATCTTATTAGGAATGTAAAATTCTCTCATCAGATTTTTTATAAATTTGTTTTCAAATTCTGAAAATGTTGCATGGTTCTTCTGCTTCACTTCAGTGCACCATTTTGCTAATGATGTATTTGATGCATCTAAAATACCAAGCCTGTGCTTTTAGCGAGACTAAATGTGTAAAAAATGAAATGCACGAGTTTAATAAACTTTACAAAGCCTGTTTTTATAAACCTGATGCAGCTCTGAGCTGACTTCTGTTTTCTCTATGAAGGATCTCTTTTATTCAACCGCAGTGTTCAACTTGTTCAGTACTAATTCTGTTTTGTAGAATTTGTGGGTTCTTTAAGTGTTTTAATTAAGCCATAGTAGTAAACTAGATGCATGCAGGATCCAGGAGGTTATAGAATATATATGAGAAACCATGTTAGTGTATAAATATTTGTCTTTCTGTTTCCCAGTAGAAAAGCACCCACTTTAGACTTCAATGGCTTTAATGATTTTTTGCAACAGACTCTTGAGGAATCTGAAAGGAATCTAAAAACTACTGATAACTGTTACTTTTACTGAAAATTATTGGAGTTAAACTGAATTATTGATCCGAAACCTATTTTTTATAAAACAATTTGAACCCAAAAATGTGACCCTAATTTTTTTAAACTTCTTTGTGTTGTTCAGCGCGCAACACTGCAGGCATCATCGCAGGATCCATTATAGCTGTCCTGTTGATCCTGATCCTCCTCGCCATCATCCTCTTCTGCTTCTGCCGTGCTCGGAACCGCAAGAAGTACGAGAAGGAAATCTGCAACGAGATAAGGTATGCCAACCAAACGCCGATGCCGTGCTGCTCATAGAGTCGCTGAAACTGTACGGTGTGTTGAAGGAGTAAAGCTTTAGTTTTGTCTCATGACGACTTTAAAATTTAGCGTTTTCCTTTGAAATTGAAAGTCATAAAATAGAATAAACTATCTTTGGAATTATTTCTGATAAAATGTATAGTGTAAAATAATAAAGAGAAGATTATATCACATTTACAGAGACACTTCTTTGACAGCTCTATAGATATAAAGCAAAGCTGGGAATTAGAAATGTTATAGTTATTGAAGATGAGGAATGGGAGGAGATTTCAGACAAAGGTTTTTTTTTTTTTTTTTGCCCCAGGATGGAAGGAATTTAACTGGAAATAAAGATTTTTTTGAAAAACCTTCCAGTATTTCAAAATATGACAGAAATGCCTCAAACTTATGGTGGAGGAACTGTAATCGGATTGGGGACTACACTCCAATCTTTTGGGACTATCCAGTACTGATTCCATTTTGATAAGGGATTCACACTGAAATTAAGGCCGTTTCTTAATGTGTACTTGTGTTTTCTGGTGTGCTCGTGAAGCGTCATCAGCCTCAGCACTAGTACTGTTACAATTCACAAGAACAGCAGACCGAGAACAAACGAAGTCCCTGGATGTTGTTCTCGCCCCTCTCTATTTACCCAGCATGCATCAGAGCAGACTTGTCAGTTCTTGACAATGAGCTCCATTGAAAGTTAAAAGTTCTAAATGTACGTTTCAAGATAATTTGAGGCGAGAATATTATACTTTAAGGTGTCACTATATGGTCCATTTACGAATTTTAATGCGTAATTAAAAAAAAAATTCCGAAGTTGAAAGCACCGTGGCAACCAGCGGACCTCAGAGGCCAACGGCAGCCAGGGCTAACGTTAGCCCGTCTGCAGCAGCCCTCTCTCTGCATAGCTGTGTTAAGGACCGCTGGATCTGATGGCGAGTTTTTTATTTTATTTGGCAAAATGTTCACTTGATTTTTGTTTATCTGACTGTCATTATTAATCCCCCACTAAATGAAATTTTTTTATAATTTATTATTATCCAGAGACTATTAATAACAGGAGGTGATATGCAGCTCCAGATGAGCCAGGCGTGTGGTGAAGTCACAAATACGCTTCTGTTCCATTTGGCCCATATTTATGCTGCATGCTCCCGTTCTCCCAGAGTCCACACTTTCCTGTGTTCTTCTCAAGAACATTTTTGGCGAGGAGTCCGTACTCACTTTCTTAAAAGAATATTTGATTTTACGTTACCACTGAACCCGCTGTATTATATATTAGGTTTGACCCCAAAAGAATATATTAATGAAAAGGAAAACTTAGTTACTACATATTCTGCTATTAGTAACAAGGAGAATGATAACTCTGTCTTGGCTTAAGCCTGCGCCCCCAACCCTTCAACAATGGCAAAAAGGTTGAAAAATGTGTACATAATGGAGACACACAGTTATACACTATTTGCTAGTTGAGTGACTTCTGGTGCCAATTGATTTTATTTAGGATGATCAGAATAAAGGGGGTGGATACACCTTGTACCTCTTTCCTCCCACTTTACAATTATAAGCAGTACCTCTGGTCTATCAGCTAAAACCAAGTGAAGTTTGTTGCTTTTAGAAGAGATGATTTTAAGGAAGCGTATGTTTGAGCTCTGCACACTCGGCCATGATCGCACACACAAAGCCACCAGCAGGTCCTTTACACCCCAACAGCCATGAAAAAGGATTTTTCTCCATCAGCGTTTTTCTTTTTTCTCCCTTCCTCAAAAAAACAGCTGTGGTAATCAGTTTGAAAGCTTTGTTTGCTCTGTGGATCCTGTGTGATGTCTGCCTGTGGCTGCCACCCACCCCCTCTACAGATCAACCTCTTCTCTGGCTGTCCATGTCTCCATCCGCCCTGTGGACTCTCCACAACAACTGCCCCTGCTATCACTCTGCTGTGGGCTGAATCTGGGACCACAATGTGACACTGCTCACAGTGTAGGACAAAGAGGATTAGGCCTCTGGTCCCTGTCTCCTGCACACATTGGCAGACATATTATTGCATGATGCTACAGACTGAACAAGCTGTGGCCCCTGAGGCTCAGTTTGATTGAGCATTTAACTGGATTATTGCTGCTTATTAGTATTTAATGTGCTGGCAGAGGGAGTTGAGGGCATAGTTGTATTGGGATGCTGTGTTTACGGCTGCAGGCTTTTGCGCAGTCCTTGTGACTTTGACTCTGTCAATCAGATCTGCAGAGTCCCATTATTTGTCAATTTTTTTATTGAGTCAAACCATGTTCTGCTCTTGAAATGACTCGAAACTCTATTACACGGTACTTGCACTCTAGAGGGAAAAAAAAAAACTACTTAAAACATCCACCAAACTATTTTTTTTTTTTGGGGGGGTAAAACCAACAAAACCTTAAATGACTACATGCTCGAAATTAAAATGACATTATGTTACTTAACTCTTTATAGGGCACTCAGTGAAATACTTTAAAAATCAAAATTTCAAGCCAATGGTGTTATTGGACTCCATGCCAGACATTATTACCTTTGTAACATTAAAAAATTATGGATATTTTGATGCTGCATCATTTTTGCCTGCGAGTGGTCTAGCATGCAAAGTGGACGGGGTTTTGAGGGCGTGACGACAAAGCTGCGTGACGCTGTAGAAAGCACAACAAGGAAGATGGCAGCAACTATTGAACAGTTCTCGTTTGATTCAGCTTTGGAATCAATTTTGGAAGGATTAGACTTGGAGTTTTCGTTGAAACTTGAGCAGGAAGAGGCTCTACGCTCATTCATTTTTAAGAAGGACGTATTCACCGTTTTACAGAGAGGCTGTTTGTTTACACTCCCCCACCAGCTTTCTGTCGTGCTTACTACGTCACAGTCAGTTGCGCTCATTGGTTAGAGCGTTGGCCAATAGGCACAGACATGGTTTGAAAGACAACGGGGCCACACTAAGTTACACATTTAATCTAGGATTTAGTCTGACTTATCAGGATAAACTTGTCCTATAAAGTGTAAAAGGTTGGTAGTATTAAATTAACTTTTTCTAACTTGGAATCATAAATTCCGAATGTTTTAGTGTTTCTAATCATTGTAAATGTATAGCTTTCGATGTTGAGCCACCAAACTAGCATGTTATAAATATAAGTGCTGTGACAAAGTATTTAACCACTTACAAATGGCCTCTGTTTGTATTCATTTTAAATCAGCAAACAAACATTCTATGAAACAAAGTTAATCTGAGTAACCCCAAAAATCTTTATTCCATCGCTGGGATTATTCAGCCCGGTTGTTTCCGTTGTCTATTTCTTTTTCTGTTGTCTAATTTTGTTTCCGGTGTCTAAATCTGTTTCCATTGTCTACATCTATTTCCCTTGTCTTTCTGTTTCCGCTGTCTAAATCTGTTTCCGTTGTCTTTCTGTGTCCGCTGTCTAAATCTGTTTCCGTTGTCTAAATCTGTTTCCGTTGTCTTTCTGTGTCCGGTGTCTAAATCTGTTTCCGTTGTCTAAATCTGTTTCCGCTGTCTAAATCTGTTTCCGCTGTCTAAATCTGTTCCCCTTGTCGAAATCTGTTTCCGTTGTCTAAATCTGTTTCCGTTGTCTAAGTCTGTTTCCGTTGTCTTTCTGTTTCCGTTGTCTTTCTGTTTCCGTTGTCTTTCTGTTTCCGTTGTCTTACTGTTTCCGTTGTCTAAATCTGTTTCCGGTGTCTAAATCTGTTCCCCTTGTCGAAATCTGTTTCCGTTCTCTAAATCTGTTTCCGTTGTCTAAATCTGTTTCCGTTGTCTAAATCTGTTCCCCTTGTCGAAATCTGTTTCCGCTGTCTAAATCTGTTTCCGTTGTCTAAATCTGTTTCCGTTGTCTAAATCTGTTTCCGCTGTCTAAATCTGTTTCCGTTGTCTAAATCTGTTCCCCTTGTCGAAATCTGTTTCCGTTCTCTAAATCTGTTTCCGTTGTCTAAATCTGTACCCCTTGTCGAAATCTGTTCCCCTTGTCGAAATCTGTTTCCGCTGTCTAAATCTGTTTTCGGTGTCTAAATCTGTTTCCGTTGTCTAAATCTGTTTCCGCTGTCTAAATCTGTTTCCGTTGTCTAAATCTGTTTCCGCTGTCTAAATCTGTTTCCGTTGTCTAAATCTGTTTCCGCTGTCTAAATCTGTTTCCGTTGTCTAAATCTGTTCCCGCTGTCTAAATCTGTTTCCGCTGTCTAAATCTGTTTCCGCTGTCTAAATCTGTTTCCGCTGTCTAAATCTGTTCCCGCTGTCTAAATCTGTTCCCGCTGTCTAAATCTGTTTCCGCTGTCTAAATCTGTTTCCGCTGTCTAAATCTGTTTCCGCTGTCTAAATCTGTTTCCGCTGTCTAAATCTGTTTCCGCTGTCTAAATCTGTTCCCGTTGTCTAAATCTGTTTCTGCTGTCTAAATCTGATTCCGCTGTCTAAATCTGTTCCCGTTGTCTAAATCTGTTTCTGCTGTCTAAATCTGTTCCCGCTGTCTAAATCTGTTTCCGGTGTCTAAATCTGTTTCCGTTGTCTAAATCTGTTTCCGTTGTCTAAATCTGTTCCCCTTGTCGAAATCTGTTTCCGCTGTCTAAATCTGTTTTCGGTGTCTAAATCTGTTCCCGCTGTCTAAATCTGTTCCCGTTGTCTAAATCTGTTTCTGCTGTCTAAATCTGTTTCCGCTGTCTAAATCTGTTCCCGTTGTCTAAATCTGTTTCTGCTGTCTAAATCTGTTCCCGCTGTCTAAATCTGTTTCCGGTGTCTAAATCTGTTTCCGGTGTCTAAATCTGTTTCCGTTGTCTAAATCTGTTTCCGCTGTCTAAATCTGTTTCCGTTGTCTAAATCTGTTTCCGCTGTCTAAATCTGTTTCCGGTGTCTAAATCTGTTTCCGTTGTCTAAATCTGTTTCCGCTGTCTAAATCTGTTTCCGGTGTCTAAATCTGTTTCCGTTGTCTAAATTTGTTTCCGTTGTCTAAATTTGTTTCCGTTGTCTAAATCTGTTTCCGCTGTCTAAATCTGTTTCCGGTGTCTAAATTTGTTTCCGGTGTCTAAATTTGTTTCCGGTGTCTAAATCTGTTTCCGGTGTCTAAATCTGTTTCCGGTGTCTAAATCTGTTTCCGGTGTCTAAATCTATTTCCGTTGTCTAAATCTGCTGCTGTTTTAATTCAGCCTCAATCATCTAATTAATTTCCTGTTGTTTATGCTCCTTCACAGAGAGGATGTGCCGCCTCCAAAGAGCCGTGTCTCGAGCGCACGCAGCTTCACCATAGGCAGTCAACGCTCCTCACTGGGATCAATGTCGCCTTCCAACCTGCAGTACATGGGAACCAATACCCAGTATGACAAGATCCCGTCCGCTGAAGAGTATGACCGTCCTCCAAGCCAGGCCCCTCTGCCTCCTCCTTCCCACGCCAGAATGGCCGGCCCCAACCTCAGCCGCATGGGGGCCATCCCCGTCATGACCCCGGCCCAGAACAGGGACGGCTCCATCGTCTAACGCGTTTTCTGCTGAAGAAGGGACCTCGGACAAAAACGCTAGTAAAATGAAGCAGTTGGTGGATGCGCTCCACTATCTGCTCTTTATTATTTACAAATGCAAAGGTCCCCTTATGAAGACATGCCCCTCCCCCCCTGAATTTTTAATGTGCTGTACTGGATATAGAGCACATTCACTTTTTACCAGAAACAAAACAAAAAAACACTTTTATGTATTTTATGTCCTGGATTTTCTTGCAGGAAATGAATTGGTGTGGATGGAGAAATGGTCAATATACAAATTCTATTGTACATAACTGCATGATTTCTAACAATGGATTCTTTGGCTGTAGATATGCTGTATGTTTAAAACAGACCCTTCACTGGCACAGTGCGCAGCTGTTTGCATGTCTGTGTGTAGAAACCTGCAGCTGGATGTCTCTGTAAATAGTTTAGATATCTGAATGAAGTTTTAGAAAGCTGTAGTTTCCTTTTCTTTATGTTTTCCCCTAACTGTACCATTACCTGTCCAGTTTTAACAGGTTCTGGCTTTTCTATGATTGGATATAAGTTAATGTAGCATGTTTTATGCTGATTGAAAACCCATCAGTCCTCCCACAACAAAATGTGACTTAATTCCTAGAGAAAAGACCTGTTTGATGCTCAGATGTTGTGTTTGACAAACTGCCTACTTTGAGTTTAACGTTGGGGGGGCTGAAAAGGTTGTAATTGGCTGATGTGGGGGGGTATGGGTCTAAATGTTTGGTGATTGGTTGGATGTTTGTTTTTTGTTACCAATCTTTCCATTCCGCGTCCCCGCCCTCCCCCAGACAGCCTGCATTGGGGGTACAGCAGGCAGCTGGTCAGCAAGGTTCACTGAGCAGTCAGCTTTGATTGTGTTTGACTATATGAAGGCCCCCACCCTAAGTGCTAGCCCCCCCATTTACATCCATACTGCCCAATTACGAAGACTAAAGGAGAACGTCTTCAGTTATCTCAGCAGCCTTTGTAATCCTCCATATTTGTTGATGCACTACAAGGGAGCAACACCCTGATTAACCCTCTCTCCCCGCGGTCAGTAGGAATCCAGCTTATGTAGCGTTAATTTGAACATTTTAATGAAGGATGGTAACCGCAGGTAAAGGAAAAAAGATTCCCACAGAGCAGAGGGCTACAAACTGTTTCACTCTCTGCATTAAAGCGCTCTGGTTTGACCTTCATTTCTGATCTCAGGGCAGAAACTGTCAGTTTTTAACAGTTCCTGAGAATTTGGCTTATTTTAGCAGTCATTCTCTGAAAGCCGAACATCTCGTCTGGTTTCCTACCTTACAGGACGAACACGATACAAACACAGGCTTCTTGTTATTTTTGTCTCTGATGCCTTACTTTCTCTTTCTTCTTTCCTTACACTCTTTCCTTTCCACTCTTCACCTTTTTGTTTTTTATTCTGTCGTGCCTTGTTGCCTGAGCTAAACTGCTGTTCTGTGCAGAAGCATCATTTTTAATGGCCGTGTGGGTTTTGAGAAAGCAATCATTACTCTGGGCTTGAGCTGGAACAAATAGCATTTTTTTACACCAAAAATGAAAAAAACTATCTTGAGGGCTTTGATGTAAATCTGGAAAACAGCATTTCTTCCTACATCTGCAATCATTGATTTAGCTTGTTCACCGTGGCATTTATTTATTTATGATTTTCATTCATAAAATAAAGTAGGATCATCCAAAGCATCCTAAATGTATATCAGGTGGTTGACATTAAGAACACTCGGTGGATTGAAGGATGTGGCTGCTTTAGTTTCTACATCGGTGCTGAATCTGAGGAGAAATGCCACTTTTCTAACCTGCAGTATGTTGGGGATTATAAATCATTAATAAACATTTAAATAGTATGAGAGAGATGCCATCCCCTTCATGAACCCAACTATTGTTTAATATTAGAAACCAGCCCATGCCTACGCCCCCCCACGCCGATTCTTTGTTGATTTTAAAGTCGCAGACCTTCGCTGAATCTGTTTTTGATTCTTTGCTCGCTGCAGCGGCCCCTGGATTTGGGATTAACATCACTTATTCCTAAGCAGCAGGAAAAGGACTAACTTTGCTGAATTTACAATCAAACATCTGTCATTTGTGCTTTAATCCCTTTCTTGTGTGCTTTTGTGCGAGCAGCTGTATTTACCACTTGATGCTAGCCAGGATTCCCATAAGGCGATCTGCAGGTCTGCGGGTGATGTGTACAGATTTCCTGTTACTCTTCCATGCTCATAACTAAAATATATTAACTACTATTAACAATATTAGCTTGGAAATCGGTGTACTAATACTGTATGAAGACTCCATTGAGGTGCACACTCTGTTCAAATCATATTTTCTTTCTGTGTATTTTTGTGCTGTATTTTTGAATAATAAAAGTCAATGAAATTAAGAATGTCCACTTTTTATTTTGGGTTGTTTACGTTGCAGCAGTTTTCCAGTGACTCTGCTTTCTGTAGCTTTTTCTGTGATGCATTTTAATCATCCAGCCGATCTGAGCCCTTCCACCAGGTGAGGTGACTCCGTAACCCCTTAATGATTGTAATTAATCAATTTCAGTGCAGACGCAGTTCGACACCTTCAGATTGAAATAAACTCACTGAGCTTTGTGTCCTGCTTCCTGCACGCTGTCAGTCATTTGTTTTACTGTTTGCTTAGATTTTAGCAATCAAAGCTAATTCTCCTCCTTAGTTAATGTACTGGGTGATTAGTTTAATTGCAATTCAGCACTAATCAAAGTTGTACCAAATGAGCTTCCTAATTAACTGAGTGAAGGGAAATGTAGCGCAGTGTGGTGTTGCTCATCTCTAGCTCACTGTACTTAACATGCTGTTGATGTTAACATGTGGATAGATCAATGCCCGATTATTAGCCGGTGGCTCCACTAGTGCATCCTGCTGACAGATAGTCAATAAAAAAAGACTAAAGCATTTAGTAGCAGCGCTAAGCGGACATCCATAGCTATAATTGGATGTTAGTAATTGATAGGGCCCTGGAGCAAAGATCTGTGATGGTTCTGTCTCCATAGCAGGTTTGCTTCTGTTCAGCAACTCCTCTAAGACCCTACAGATGGATGTGCTAAACAGGCTTCTCTGCTGTTTGTATAAAGTGAATTAAATATGCTAAAACCAACAGGAAAAGCTCTGTAAACATGGCGACATAAAAGTATGGAGTGAATTTTATTAAAATTTTTGGTGTGAATGAAAAAAACACATTTTGTGGTAGGAAATTTTAAAGAAATGCGTTCCAGGAATGAAAAAAACGTTTTAATAAGATTTTGAGAGTTTTTTCCAATTTATTTTTCATATGTATTTTTTTTCCGATTTTCAAACGTTAAATTTATTTTTTTTAATCCTAACTTTTGTTATTTAACACATTTTACATTTTTTAAAGAAGCTTTGTTTTCAGATATGCTGAGTTTTATGGAATGCATTCTTTTTAAATTACGTTTTGCGGTGGGCTTCTATGGCGTGAGGAACGGAGACTCAATTCTACTGGCCTGCATGGGAGATTACATTTCAATCAATGTAGGAGCCGCGTAGGAGCAGTGTTTGTATTGGAAGTGAAGAGATATATGATCTGGGAAATATATGGAGGGAAAAAAACAGCTTAAATTTGGAAAAACAGGAATATAAAAAAATGTAATGTAAAATCTGTTATTGAATAAAAGGGAAAATAAGATAAGAATACAATTTGAAGAAATATATGGAAATAGAATAATCCGGAAACACAGCAAAGTTACTGTCAAAACTTAAGTTTAATTTCAGGATTGTATTTTGTATGTGTCCTTTGCTTGGAAAAATAAGGGAACAACTTTCACCTCATATCAGTGAGGCATCTTACCAGGGATGTGAATAAACCCAGCTGTAGCCTAGTTTGATGTTTTTTCCACTTTCTCCACATGTTTTTAATCAAGTTTATTCCTTTAAATGTATTTACTTATCTGTATAGTATAGTATTTACTTATCTGTATAGTAAAACATCAGTATCCTTAACCCCTTATAGGTCAAGGTACCATCACTTGCTACATGGATGTGCATCTTATTTTGGAGTTTGGCAAATTAGATGAGCCCTTGAATGATATATTACCTACTGTAAATTAAGCTGGAAAAAAAAGTTAAGTCAAGAAAAGAGGTAAAAAGCTATTTAAAAAGTTAAAAAGGGAAAATGAAAAGGTTAATAAGCCTAGTTAACAATTATATTTAGGTTTATAAACTAAGAAATGTAAGTGACAGTATCAGGTTATGTTGTACCAAAAAAATAGTGTTTCTTTTACTCTGTTTTTTCATTAATTTTTTATAGAAGCACTTTAGTTATTTTTGTTAATATATTCAAGCAAGTTCGCATTTCTTGTTATTACCTTGACATTAATTTTTTGCTATCAAAATGTCCATATGTTTTGAATGTTACAAAGGTAATAAGGTCTTGTCCTGGATTCTGTAACACTATTGGCTTGAAATTCTAATTTTCAGTATTTCACTGAGTTTCCTATAAAGGGTAAAGACATGTCTGAGAAATTTAGGGTGCATTGAAGCTGCTAAAGCAGGAGATACCCAGGGTTGATTGGAATGATATTTCATTGGAGATCTAAATCAATCATTTCAATCCGAGTTTCGAAAGAATTTGTTCTGATCAATATGCTCCTTTAACATTGCAGCTGCCACAATTTTTAAATTGCAGTCATTCTAATTCTAGGATCATAAAAGCAAAATGTTTTTTTTCGATTACTTTAGTGTGTTTCAGATGTCAAGCATTCATGCTCTGAACGATGGGCTTAAAATGCTGTAATTTCACCTCACCTGATGTCTTTGTTTGGTTTCTAATATATTTCAGCTCCCAGATTTGGAGCTGAGCAATGATACAGATAGCAAAGTAGGAGAAAAAGGTGTAATAAAGATATTATTTCTTAATAGCATTCTATTTTCCTAATATCCTGCAGCTTTATTTAAATAGAGTTTACTTCAGAGCACCTGCATCACCTGCCACCTCTGCCCAAACAAAACTGCAGGAAGATATTAGAAATGAGCCCAAACCAACGAGCTAAAAGAGGTAACAAAAACCCAGCCTAGATTCTATTCATCCAGTTCACTTAACCAGGTAATTGGCCCCGCTCTCAGTCCAAATATAATTAATTGGTTAGAGCTTTAGCCACAGTAGAAGTGCATCAGCAGGTTCATTAATAGATGCAGGCTTTATGGAAGGAAAGAAAGCCTGTATGCCTCCTGTTATAGTTTCTTTGGTAAAAGAAACAAACACATAAACATTATTGCTTCTTGTGTACTTTGTGTGACTCATGCAAATATAAACACCTTTAATGTACATGTTGACAAGCCTGAAGACAGAGGTTCAAAATTTGTATTTTTGACTCAGCAACGGTCTAAATGTTTCCAATGTTTTTGTAACTGAAGTTACCGTATCAGACCATTTTTCTATTTACTTTGAAACCTTCTTTCCCACTGATCTGATTACCAAAAGATATAAGAAAGCATGTTATCATGGACAGTACAATTAAAAATTTACCCGGGTTACTGTACTTCCTGCAGAGGATGAGGAGAGCCCACCTGCCCCCACCCATCCTCACCACCTTCTACAGAAGCACCACAGAGAGCGTTCTGACCAGCTGTCTCACTGTGTGGTGTGGAGGCTGCAGCACTTCAGACTGGAAGAAGGTGAGGAGAGGGGTGAGAACAGCAGAGAAGATCATGGGGCTCCTCTTCCCTGCATTAAAGACATTTCACCTCAGCCCGTAACATCATCAATCACCCCTCACCCCCCACCATGGACTTTGAAGCAACCGATGCAGGTCCAAAAGATTCCACAACAGTTTCTTCCCCACTGCCATTAGACTGCTGAATGTTTTGTAAAATGGGTTATTGTATTGTATTTTATTATATTTTATCATTATATATACATAAAAAAAGTTAGAACTTTAAATTTACTGTCGTTTATACTATTTTTTCAAAGCTGCACTTTTAAAAAAAGATGAACTTGTCCAGAGAGCTGTTTCCAAAAGAAAATTATTTTTTGTTTTCACACTTGTGTAAACAGAATGACAAAATCTGTCTAAGTTAAGCCTTCAGCTTCCGCTTTACCCTACAGAAGGCATCCCCAAAGTCAGTCCTCGAGGGCCGCTGCAGGTTTTAGAGGTTCCCCTGCTCCAGCACAGATGATTTACATTGATAGTTGATTAACAGGCTTTTGCTGAACTGCAGTCATCAGAATCAGCTGTGCTAAAGCAGAGAAACCTCTAAAACCTGCAGGACAGCGGCCCTGGAGGACTGACTTTGGGAATGCCTGCCCTACAGGGTAACTCAGATGAGCTGGTCGATAATTGCCATCCTAAGCACCATAGAGACATTTCATCCCAGCGCTGCGTGTCCCGAGCCCGTAACATCATCAGTGACCCCTCACACCCCCACCATGGACTGTTCTCCCTGATGCCCTCTGGGAAGAGACTTCACAGCATTCAATGCAGGTCCAGCAGATTCTAGAACACCATCTTCCCCACCACCATCAGACTGCTGAACTCTTGAGAAAACACCAAACAAAACCACTGCATAGTTGCACCATACATATTTAATGCTCTTCAATATCAATGCGTTTTTGCACCATGTTTTTCTCCCACAATGTTTACATTTGATCATTTGCTGCACTTGAAATGGAAATGCTCTGAAAGCTGTAAAAAAAAAACTAAATTTCGTTTTGTAGAGTCTCTGTGTGTACAAAATGACAGTAAAAGCTGTCTGAGTCTAAAGTTGCAGACATCATTGATTCAGCTGCTCCAGTTAAAGTGATAGTTGTCTCTGGGAAGATGAGATCTCTGTGCTGAAATGCTCCAGCAGCAAGGAAAGAGAAGAGGGGGTGCAGAAAAACTGAACGATGGGGGCGAAAGATTGGACTCCAGGTTCACCATGAAATCTATAAAGAGAAACTTCACAGATTTAATTTAAAACTAAAAGATCAAAGAGAATTTTCCTCCCTGAGATTATCAACCAAAACATCAATAATGCTCGCAGCCTATTTGCCAGTCGACAGCTTAACAAACACTCCTATCGCTGCGGCCAATGAACTCTGAGAAAACACAAGGTATTAGAAAGCAGTCTGCACATCAACTCCCGTACCAATACTGTCACCAGTTTGAATAAACTGTTAAAATGTTCCAGTTCTGTGCAATAAACTGGAAGAGTTTAGAAGAAACTTCAACAACTAAGCTCCTCTTCCTGCTGTCTTGATGTTTTACACACAGTTAAACCAGAGTCTAAATCTGTTGGTGCCCCAGCCAGATCCCTTTGCCGGAGTTCAACAAGAACTAGGAACAGGTTGGACTGGATTCTGACAATGCAAACCAGACTCCTGGTCAGCTTACAGAGACCAGATAGCCCCTGAGTCAAT